CCGCCCTGAGTCCCCCCTTGGGGGTGAGAAGGGCGGGGTAGAAGTAACTGAAATAAATAAATAAATAAATATTTATATAGATATAACTCTAGACTAAAGTAGAATCATAGAGTTGGAAGAGACCTCATGGGCCATCCAGTCCAACCCTCTGCCAAGAAGCAAGAAAAGGTAGAAGTGGTTCTCAATTTGTGGGTCCCCAGATGTTTTAGCCTTCAAATCCCAGAAATCCTAACCGTTGGTAAACTGGCTGGGATTTCTGGCAATTTTAGGCCAAAACACCTGGGGACCCACAGGTTGAGAACCACTGGTCTGAGGAGACAGTCTCATCTTACATGAGTCTCTGCCCTTGATTACTGAGATCTTTCCATGAATCTCTTTACAGGGACAATACGAAAGACAAAGTCACAAAATATACAAAGGAGTTGAAAACAAATAGTTCCCGGACATGCGAAAAATTAATTAAGGCCCACATATGTTACAGAAATGCAAATTCCTTCTTCAGGTGCAAACTGCAAACTTGACAGCCTCCAAAAAAGTGATGACAATTGCATGAGTTGGAGAAGGGAGGCAAGGAAGCCTACCAAAGATACCCTTGCCATTCAAGGAGGCTTCAGAAGTGAACAAGGCAAAACACCAAAAACAACACCATCTAGATTCTTCTGCTGGCCTGAGGATCTGAGCAATGTTAATGTCCCTTGGATAAAATTCAACGCTAAGCAGACAGCCCCAAAAAGTCATGTTAAATGTGATAGACATTCATATTACTGTCCCTTCTTAAACATGATAACTCTTTGACATTTATATAGCACCTATGCTGTGCCCAGCTCTTCATGAAACAGTGCAAGAAGAACTAAGACACGCTGAAGGGAATATAGACACTTACTTCACTGCATATTGAGCAAAGGAGAGATAATCCACCAGCACATCCAAGCCTTTGTTTTCGTCATTGAGAAACTCACGCACCCATCTGCAAAAGAAAGAAAAAATAGTGGTTTATTGACAAAGGTCGTTGTTATTTATTTGTAGAAATTAGCATATTATTATTTGTTTAAATAAATATTAATATAACTTAGCTACCTGCCATCTTGTGGCCTCCAAATGTGCTGGAGGTCCCTATCCAACATGGCCCACTATTCTCGCCCATGATGCCCAATGGGCATACTCACTAAGGGTTAAAGGAGTTTCTTTAACTCTTCTGGAGGGCACCAAATTGGCTTTTTGTGAATTATTTCCTTCTTCCAAAGACTTGACACCGTACACAGTAAATCAGCCATACAGAAAAAGTTGGACTGAATTGCTTCATGCTCGACGTGTAATGCAACTTTCCCAAGCTAGAAATGTGAACTCAATCCACACTTCATGTAAGTGGTTCCAATTAATAAAAATAAATAAAAATTCCTGAAAAGGAGATCCAATTACAATGTATTGTTGTAGTCTATTCCTGGGTTAGGAGTCATTTTGGATATCATTGTTTATTTATTTCTAAATAAACATGCACAGAATATATCTGAGAAACAGCATATAATATAACAGGCTTCATAAACATCACAAACACACACACTAACATGAACACACACAGAGAGAGTGGTCCTATAATTAAGAAACCACTGTTTCCAACACTCTCCAGAAATTCTCACCTGCCCACAGCATTAATCCCAAAGAAAGATCAGGCAATGCTGAAGGAAGACGACAGAAAAAGGGAAGGAACAAAAATATTCACAAAGATGGTATACAACAACCGCAAAATATGTCCCTCTACATGTTCTTGCCTTGTAGCTTCCATTACTTCTATATCATATAGATAGATTTTAAATTTATTTACATTCAAAAAGGATCTCTGTTACATACAATACTGTTTCAGTATAACAAAAGCAGGGGGGAAAAAACACAAAAAGAGGGGGAAAATAACCAGATTAGTGCTAAGTTTCTATAAAACTTGACCAAATGTCTGAACATAAATCTATTACAAATTTCATCTACACCTTGTTCTTTCTCTACCCACCAGAAACAACTTGCAGTTTCTCAAGTCACTCCTGACATGAAAAAACCCAGTCAGTTTTAATTATGAATTTTAAATTTGTGTCCTGTGTTTTAATCTTTGTTATGTGTATTTTAATATGTATTTTATATAAATACATTTTAATATGCTTATTTTATAGGTAAAGGTAAAGGTTTCCCCTTGGCATTAAGTCTAGTCGAGTCGATTCCGGGAGGTGGTGCTCATCTCCATTTCTGAGTCGAATAGCCAACATTGTCTGAAGACACCTCCACAAACTGTTTTTACTGTTTGTGAACCGCTGTGAGTCGCCTTCGGGCTTGAGATACAGCGGTATATAAGCAAAGTAAATAAATAAATAAATAAATAAATAAATAAATAAATAAATAAGGTCATGTGGCCGGCATGACTGCATGGAATGGCACTACCTTCCCGCCAAAGCTGTACCTATCTACTCACATTTGCATGTTTTCGAACTGCTAGGGGGGAGAAGCTGGGGCTAACAATGGGAGCTCACCTTGTTCCACAGATTTGAACCACTGACCTTCCAGTCAGTATGTTCTGCAGCTTAGCAGTTTAACCTGCTGCGCCACCACAGCCCCATCTTTTATAGAACTACATTTTAATATGTGTAATTATTTATTTTAACTAGGTTATAACCCGCTTTGAGCCACAGGGAGAGGTGGATAAGAAATAAAATTATTATTATCATTATTATTATTTCAAATATTGGAAGCATTGTTAGATCTTATAAACGATCTTTCCAGTTGCAAAGTATTAATCATTTAGCATCAAAATCCAAACATAAATTTCACATTTCCATCACTGATGGAATATACATGAAAAAACTACTTCAGTTGGTCATTTATACGTTTTCAAGAAATAAATTACACAATTCAAAAGAACATGGATGGCCCTAATTATCAAGAAACTTTCAAAATCAAATTTACTCGTGGCATTGCTTTCTCCCAAAATATAGCTACTACAGGACAACTCCAAAACATGTGCATTAAGGAAGTGTTAGCAATAATACATCTTCAATTTGCTGACTTAGACATAGTAGGACCAAATCTGGATTGTAACGAATGTGAGGATAGGGTGATTTTTCATTAAAGGCAAACCAGGAATTAATTAAGATTATTAAAAGCTGGTGATTAGAGCTTTGATAAGTTGCTTTTTTGAATGACACATTCAAGAAATTTTGGGCCTTTCCACACAGCCATATAACCCAGAATATCAAGTCAGAACAATATCTGCTTTGAACTGGGTTATCTGGTGCCTCTTCCACACAGCTGAATAAAATTCCACATTATCTGCTTTGAACTGGAATATATGGCAGTGTGAACACAGATAATCTAGTTCAAAGCAGATATTGTGGGATTTTCTGCCTTGATATTCTGGGCTATATAGCTTTGTGGAAAAGCCCAGAGTCCACACTGCCATATATCCCAATTCAAAGCAGAAAAGTGGGATTTTATTCAACTGTGTGGAAGGGGCCTTAGAGACAGGTGTTATCCCCACAGAAGGTGTTTAAAAAGACCCACATATTGTGAGGAATTTGTTTGTTCCCCTTCCATTTCTAGTGCAGACGGCATCCATGGATTCCACAATTCACTGCTTGAAAATATTTCTCCCCAAAATGCCAAAAAGTAAACTTTGAGTTTGATATTTCATATAAAATATACCATTTATTATGATACTGTATGTAAAGAAACTTGAGCATCCACAGATATTTGTATCTGTGGTGTCATGAAACAAAACACATTTGTTACACGTAAACATGTTTGAGTGTTTTTTTTTGGGGGGGGGGGTCCACAGAAAAGCTACATGTACACTACGAGAAGTAACTGGTAATGTCCATAAGTCTGTCTTTTAGGGGAAACCATATGAAAGGAAACATTCACAGTCCACTACCCTACACAACACACATCATGCTCAGTTCTTTTATGGGGTGGCATTAAGTATTGAGGCCCTGTTCTTTCAACAGCGATGTGCAGAAACTGGACAGAGTTCAGAGGAGAGAGGAGAACATGATAAATTCAGAGTGAAGTCTGCCATGGCCCACCCAACGTGTGTTGCAGAGAGATTTCGGCATCCCCAGCTGCCTTTGGCACAGCTTTATCTTTCGACAACAGGACAGGGAGGGTGTCCTTCTAGGCCTCCGTGGGAGATGCCTCCCTATCCAGCCATTCCTGATGCAAGCAGGAAAGGCATATTTTGTGTGTACATGTGTGTCTGTGCCAGTCTACATCTATTGGTGGAAATCCCACCAAGTCCCTAGTCTGTTGGTGGAGAGAATAAGAGCAACACTCCAGAATAGTCAAAAACAAAAGGACGGATATGTGTGTGAGAGAGATGGGATGGGTGGAGAAAGAGGGAGAAAGAGGAGAACATTCTGGACTCAAGAGAAGTTTTTATCACTTGGGAAGTTGGATGTTCAGGGTGTGCATTTTCAAAATCATCCAGAGGTGAATGTGATTTAGTCTATCAGTCCTCTTATGTCTCCTGGAACTGAGCATATTTTTGTTCCCATTCTCCCTCAATCTTTTTGGGACAGAGGAAAATTAGGCCAGCCCATTTCCTGACTGTCTGCACTCCAGCCTCCACCCCCAGTGTGTTTCCTGTCTGACTCCAGTGGCTGCTATTTTAGGGCCCTCCACACATTTACTTAAGGTTAAGGGGCATAAAGGTGGAAGCAGAAGCTGTCCAAGGCAAATCCAATTCTCCCTGCAGTTGGGTCCAGGAAGGGGGCATACTGGGCATATGCCAACTCTACTGCAGAAGATACCTATATATGCTAGCATGTTTTGTGCAAATGGATCTGGAGACATTGTTGCTCAGTGGCAGAATGCACGTTTTAAATACAAACAATAGCAAAGTCAAAAGGCTGGAGAGACATTGAGCAGAGATTACTGGATGAGGTTTCCCCAAGTGCGTGAGAAAATGCAGAAACTGTTCTGGGTTCAAGACCATCAAACTCAGCAAATGCCCCCGAAATTGTCACACAGCCTAATACTTTCTGCCTTGTAGGGATATAAAGCCCCATGGCACTTGCTTAAGGAAGTACAGCTACTACATAGAAACCAAATATTATATTACAAGTAATAAAATAATAATGCCACATGAATATGTGCAACTTTATTTTGTAAAGAATGTATCTATGCATCCATATCCAAAGAGTGGTAGGATAATGCTATGAGACCAGATCATCATCCTACCACATCTGAGTTCAGTATGTCTCAATATTTCTTCTCCCTCACACTAACTTTCCAAGCTCTGAGTAGTCTCATAAGACTGTTGTGGGGATACGATAAAGGAGAGCCAAGTGTGCCACTTTGAGATTGTTGTAAGAAATGTAATATATAATGATAACCAATCAATTTATTCATCCATTCATCATAAACTTAGGAAGAATGAAAAAACATGGGTTCCAAGCAAGAATAGCACAATCACACACACAGAAAGCAGCCGATTAGGGCAGATGGCTTGAAAGCATAACCCCCTCAACCAATTCACAAAGGAGCTCCATGACTCTTGTCCACTTGCAAGTAACACTCATGTTCTCGCTCCAGGGAACCCCTAAACCTGAGTGCCTGCTCATTTCCTGCCCACTCTTCTTTTCAAGAGGCAACACAATGTCCAATTAATTGGCTGTCCTAGCTAAGAATGATGGGAGTTGTACTTTAGCAGAACTGGAGGGTCCCAGATTGAGGAAGGCCATGAATACTCCTCAGGTATCTTCTTCATGCCCATTGTATTACTGGTTATTATTTTTTGTTGAGCATTGTTTTGATTGAGTTTCAATGCTGCTGTTTTATATTCTTATGTTTTATTTAATTGTGTTTTTATCTGCATTGCTGTATTTTATTATGTTCTTATTTTAATTGTGTTTTTGCCTTAATGGGTTGTTTTGTATTTATGTCTTGTGGGCATTTTGTCTCATATGTAAGTCGCCCCGAGTCTCTTTGGGG